TAATATGCGATATATAGCCATAATTGATTTGTATCGATATAAATTCAATCGATAATTATCGATTTCTAGATATGTAATGATATATTTCTATTTTCGATATATATCGATTCTTTGTTATATACTGATATATAATTTATTTTATCAATATATAACATTATTTTCTAATCGATATATATTGATTTACTGCAATATATCAATATGTATCTATATAAAAAATTTTTCTGATGCATGTGATATCTAGCAAAATAGAAATATCCCACCATCTAATAATCCGGAGGCACCTGGAGTCGGGGTAAGCAAACCTCACAGGATGTGAGGACCAATGGTGAAATAAATGGGTTAATACGACTATACTGGGCTGTAAGGTTTGGTATGTCTCACTCAAGGTGGTTCTAGAAGTTCGGGAACTGAAACACCGCAGGGGGAGGAACCTGGGACATCTGCAGTAAAGGATGACTAATTAGAAAAGTTGTGGCTTAAAATACAGATCAGATTTCGGCAGTGCCTTAAAAAGTAGCTTGAGATACGAACTCGGTGATAGTAGCATAACAGGTACTAGTTAGAAATTTGTAACCAATAATGTACTGAAAATCTTGTAAAAATAATGTACATTCGTGTACATTCTACTATAATGAGTAATAAAGAGGCAGTGTCGTTAAAAATAATAATAATAATAATAATAATAGTATTTTGTTAATAAAACGTTATCCAGTGGTCCAAATGAAATGATTTTGGTACTATTGAATTTGTCTCACAGAGACGAATCGAATTATCCTGATTGGATCACTGGGTCATAATATATCCAAGTTTTTGTAAAATTATATATATAAACATATGAATTTTTAAATTTTTTTTATATAGTCTAGGGGTCAAGAGCTACTATGTAGGGGTACATAACATTATATATGAATGCCCCTTTTCAGCTAGTATGCAAAAAAAAAAAACAAAATTTGTTATATCTTTATATCCTTACATTCAGTATCAAACATAATCTATATATCGTATATGCAGTATGCAAAAAAAAAAAAACAAAATAAGAAATACATATATACAAACTTCAAATAGTATGAGTTCAAAAAAAAAAAAAAAAAAAAAAAAAAAGAAAAGACATAAAAGAAGAGAACACATATATATAATGACAAAAAAAAAATAAATAAAAAAATAGCAAATTTATCCTTTTTGATTTACGGGGTCTATTTTTTTTGATTCATCAGGTGATTGACAAAAAAAGCCTATTTTTTAATAAACGTATACTGATCTTCATATGATACAATGACGTATATTGATATTATATAAACTTATATATTCAATTTTATGTCATTAACTAATCAAATTATTAAATCGAACTTTAGTATAAAAAAAAAAAAAAAGAACATAATTAATATAGAAATCAGTTTTTTTTCTCTAACTAAAATAAAAAAAACCTTCCATATTAAGAAATATAAAAAGCAGTTCATTGAGTAGAGATAAAGATATCGTCATATTAAGTGGAGATTGAGGAGGAGTTGGAGGTTGAGGTGTTATGCGGTTGTGAATATTGTAATCGGATATGTTGAGAAGAGATAGAAAGGTGTCATTAATACATCAATTTAAAATAAAAAAAGGTGTCACCAGTATAATGAATTAAATTAAAAGGTATTATTAGTAATTTACTTAAAGCTATGTATATTTAATAAAAGAAATCTAAAACTTACAAATGCTTTGTTATAGGCTAGACGAAGTAAAAGGTGTCGCCAGTTTGTTAAATTAAATTAAAAAAAAAGATATCATTAATAATATACTTAAAGCTATATGTATTAAATCAGAGAAATCAAACTTACCAATACATTGTTATAGGGAAGACGAAATAAAAAGTGCTACTAGTGCATTAAATTAAATAAAAAAAAAAGTATTGTTTGTAATTTGCTTAAAGCTATATGTATTAAATTTGAGAAATTTAAAACTTATCAATACTCTTTTATAAAGAGAATAAAATAAAAGGTGCTACTAGTACATTAAATTAAATAAAAAAAAGGTATTGTTTGTAATCTGCTTAAAGCTATGTGTGTTAAATTTGAGAAATTTGAAACTTACTAATACTCTTTTATAAAGAGGATAAAATAAAAGATGCTACTAGTGTGTTAAATTAAAAAAGATATTGTTTGTAATATACTTAAATTATGTGTATTAAATTAGAAAAATCCGAAATTTACCAACACTTTATTATAGAAAAGATGAAATAAAAGATAATTCAGTGCATTAAATTAAAAAAAAAAGGTATTATTTGTAATTTGCTTAAAGCTGTGTATCAAATTAGAGAAATCTAAAACTTACCAATACTTTGTTATAAGGCAGATAAAATAAAAGGTGCTATGTTAAATTAAATAAAAGAATTTTTTTTTCAATTGTATACAATTTTACAATTTTACTTGGAATAGTATATTATTAGTTTAAACATTGTATATTAATTAGAATAATAAATCACAAAATCAAATACTGCAAATTGCTTGTTTATTTCATATATGCCTATTTATTATATTTATTTATTGCATATTCATCAATTACAAATAGCCAATTCTTTAATCTAATACTGCTAAAGACTTAGTTTTATTCTTTTTACGATCGAACTAGCTAATTAACTTGGTTGTTTTAGCAATATCATTATCATTAAGGCAGATACTTCGAGATTAACATACTTTAACAAATTCTTTTCAATTCCAGTTAATTTCTTGTTTATTGAAAAGATCCTCTAAAGCAGAATTTTTGATTTTTCTTCTTCAAAATAGTAGAATATTTTCACTGCTTTTTTCATACAAATTTAACTGAAAAAGATAATTAACAATAAAATAGTTGAAGATTTTTTCATATTACTATATATTAAATTTACTTACATTTTTATGTTTATTATTTCATACTCTTTTGGTTTGATATTTTTTAATAGAATATGGAATATTCTTGTTTTCTACAATTGGGACCAATGGTTTAGCCATTTAATAGTAAGTTAATATATAATTTAGACTTTATTTGTAATTGTATGTTAATATGTTCATTACTATGTTGTTTATTCGGAAGTTAAGTTTTTTTTAGGGGGTACTTAATTCTTATTTATATTGCTTTTTTTTGTTTTTGCGCCTTACATAGGTTCTTACTAATTAACTATTTAATTATGACTACATAATTAATGCATATTATTAATTTATTTAACTATAAGCCCCACTTTATTAATCGCATTATTAATTTGTTATTAATTTTTTCTGGTGCATGATCATGATCATGATTGTGATCATATCACATGAGCACGATAAGTATATTTATTTCTCTTATATTAGCAACCCAAATGTATTGCTAATTACTTCCTTATTTGTTCCGATTATGATTGATTGTTATTTCCTGCATATTGTTATGCTGATTAAAACCGTTTCTATTAAGCCATTACAACATATCAAATATTGTTACGCCGATTAAACCTGTTACATTATTACTTCAAATATATGATAAATAAATTATTTGATAAATAAATTATACTTACATTATTTGATTTGGGCTGATTAAATCGAAGTTCTGAAATATTAGTATTTTGTGCAAGTATTATTTCTTGATTGTGATCATTACAGATTGAAATATGCAAATTGCTTGATTTTTTAGAATTATCATGATTGGTTTGATCATCATTTAGAGTAAATAAATTAATATTTACATTTAATAAATGTATTGTACTATTTAAATGCTATAAAATAAATTTAAAATTTTCAATAAAAGATATTGATTAATTTAGTTTAAAAAATTTTACATATTGTATACAGAGTAAAGTTATATATATGACTTGTCTATTTACTTTATTTTCAGTAGTCTTTTGATCTTTTACTCCAATATTATGTCTATTATCAAATTTATAAAGCATTATACTATTAATTACTGAAGTAGCATGTCTTGTCTTCGGAAACTTACTTGGTCTAAACAGATTGTTTTCAATAATTTGCTTTTTGGTTGGAAAAAAAATAGCATCTCTCTTGGCTTTATCAGAGCCAGTATATATTATTTTATTTTTTATATTAAATGCTATTACTTGTTCCTTATTTCAAAAATATTGAATAAGTTCTCTTTTTATCTGATCAGTTGAATTTTCATTTGCTTTTATAGATACATAGATATGTGCTGCATTTTCATGTTTATAACAATTACAAAATGATCTATACCAAATAAAATCAAGACAAGTACTTTTACCTATAATATAATTAACTAGATAATAATAAAACCATGTGCTTTTCTGCAAGCTTTTTAATCATCTTAGACACTTCTTGAGCTTCACTATCTTCAAACCTAATCTTATCTGCCGTATATGGAGATCAAAAAGTATTTTGCTTAGAATTATTCAAATATACATATAAAAAGTTTGGGTTGTCTGAAACTTCAAGAATGCTATTCTGTAATACTTTCAAATTTTCCTGATTTATATAGTATATTATAAGATTGTAGTCTGTATAGCCCATTTTAGTGCTTAATAGTGCATGAATTTCAGTATGTAACAAGTCCTGTACTAAAAACCAACTGACCACAATTCTCTGTAAAGTTTGAGCAAGAAACCCTGATATCATAAAGATGTTCGATAAAGGTCAACACTGTTTGGGTACCTGAATATTTTTCTTCAATAGTTCTATTTATTCTTTCAGTAAAGTTATTAGTAGTCCATGCTTTGTGTGAGGTTCATCTTCCTGACTAGGTAAGCGTCTGCCATCAATAAAACCAAGAATCCACTCTTTACAGAGCTAATTTTCCTCAAGATCATGTATAAAAAATACTTTTGCTTGAGTGGAAATTGGAAATAAATTTATAAACTTTTTATATTCGATTACCATTTCTTTGGCTTCAGTTATACTTCTGCATCTGCCAATAATTTTGAATGCCAATGCTATCAGGTATCTGTATAAATAATATAACATATATAAATATTGTTATTCAATATTTTATTATAATCCAATTTCAGTATAAAATGCTACAATTAATATAAAAAATATATAAAAGATTTATAAATACTATACATTACTATAAGCTCCAATTAATTTTTTGTGTTCTAAAATGATTTCTAAAAGTCTGCATTATATAAAACTAACAGAGTATTGTACCTCGAAGAATAAACTTTAATGCAGCCTTTGTTGGTTTGTATTTGTCTATCATTGTGAAAGGTTTTTATTCAATTGCATATAGCTATATATGTTTAAAGCCTTTATTGTTAGGTAGTGTAATATATTCATATGAATGGTCACAATTTATATTTTTACAAGATATATTTGCTCTTATTGCTTCAACCGTGAGCCTTATTGTATATATATTCTCTTTGTTAGATAATGTGAATCCTATAGGCATGCTCCAATTTTCTCTGTCTTCTACTACAAGAGTATGAATAGGTGCATAATTGTTGTTAAATCATACTTTGCATTGATGTCAAAACAAAATGAGCCATAATCTTTTGCTTGTTCAAGCCATATATTATTACTTACAGTAAGTTGATAATAGTGTTCTGGAGAATTTAAAAGAAAGTTTTGATTCTCTTGTTGATAATAAAGAACAAACCCCTTTTCTTTCAATTCATTTATAATTAAACCATGTAAAATTGTTCACAGACCTATATCACAACTATATTGACTATTTCGTTCTATCAACTGTTAAATTTTTTGTTCACTACATATATTAACTTCACATTTTTCTTGTTGCTCCAATTATTTTTTTGATATACCATTAAATGAAGCTAAAAGTTTGAGTTTTACTTCTTTAGCTATGAATCCATTTGTATGTCAACTTAAAATTACCTGATCTCTTACAGTTCTACTGAAATTTAAATATGTAATAGATGATTTATATTGAATAAAAATGTTGGTTAGAATATGCTGGCCTTCGATATATAATTTAATGAGAAATTTTTCTGCAACTATATTAAGCATAACTTTGATAATTATATACGAACTTTGCACTTATGCATATTATTGCCATTTTTTAAATTGTTTTTTATTTGATAATTTGAACAATTGAGTATACAATTTCCAAATTCACCACATATTCTCTAACAGTTCTCATCACCTGCACAATAAAAAACCTAATGCCAAATACAAAGATCTGAAACTAAACCTTGCCAAATTTGAATAACATAATTCTGTCCCTTTTCTGTTAGTTCAAGTCTATTATCCAAGCGATTTGTCGATTTTGTCATGCTATTAATTGTTGTCTAGCCTTTAAAGTCAATTGCACCTTCTTCATGTTTAAAAATAACAAGGTTTTTTTGAATCGCTTGATTTACTTTTTGTTGGCTTTGATATTTGAAATGTGCATATTTTACAATTGGTAATGATAAGATATATGTCTCAGCAGCACGTCCAAATGGTAAACCAATACTTCTATCTGTATTCATCTAATGTAACATATTCATCACCATATTCAGTTATATAATTGTAGGTATTTATAGTAATGTGTTTTGTCTTTCTATAAAAGAATATCAGTAAGTTTCAGATTTCTCTAATTTAACACACATAGCTTTAAGCAGATTATAAATGATACCTTTTTATTTATTTATTTAATTTAACACACCGGTAGAACCTTGTATTTTATCTTCTTTATAACAAAGTATTGATACATTTCAGATTTTTTTGATTTAGTACATATAGCTTTAAGTATATTTTAATAATATATTTTTTTTATTTATTTGCTTAATTTAATGAACTGGCAGTATCTTTTATTTTATTTGGCTATAACAAAGTATTTGTAAGTTTTAGATTTCTTTTATTAAATGCACATAACTTTAAGTATATTACTAATGATACCTTTTTTTATTTATTTATTTAATTTAACAAACCAGCGATATCTTTTTTATTTTAAATTAACATACTAACAACACCTTTCAATCTTTTACTCCTCTCTTGTCTCCACTCTACTATTTTTCACTCAACACCTCCTACAACTACACAATACCTACAACTGCACAACACCTCAACCTCTAACTTCTCCTCAATCTCCACTTAATGCGACGACACCTTTATCTTTACTCAATGAACTGCTTCTTATGTTTTTTAATATAGAAGGTTTTTTTTATTTTAGTTAGAGAAAAAGAACTGATTTCTATATTAATTATGCTTTTTTTTTTTTCTTTTTATACTAAAGTTCGATCTAATAATTTGATTGGTTAACAACATAAAATTGAATATGTAAGTTCATGTAATATTGATATGCATCATTGTATTATGTAAAGATCAGCATATATTTATTAAATAATGGGCCTTTTTTGTCGATCACCCGATAAATCAAAAAAATGGACTCCGTAAATCAAAAAGGATAGATTTGCAAAAAAACGACTACTACTATGACAATATTTATAAAAAAAAAAAAAAAACAACACCAAATGACAGAATCAATAAACCTCTTGGAATAATCACATGATTTCGCCATTCTAACAGCCAGCCTGCTTTGGCAGGCAGGAAACCACTGGCTAAATAATTAGGCTAGGATTGCCTATTTAATTTTTTTCTGGTCTGTACAATGACTCCCAGCGCAATTATTATTGCTATCTTTTCAGAATATTCATCATTTTAGTTCCTATTACTCTTATTCAATTCACATCTATCTCTAATAATAATAAAGCTATCTCTGGCTCTTATCGCAGCTAGCATTACTCCACATAAACAAGGTGTGTGTCTATGTTTTTTGTATAAGTTGACAACCAGACTGAGCGCTAATTTGCCCCAGACCGCATGTGGTGCTAACCACCTAGCACAGATCAGCCAATCTGCGAGCCCCTACTGTACACAGGTAACACTAGCCGCCCCAACAAACCAATTAATGAAATGCAGATGCTCCATCAGCCAGTGCCACACAGATCCCGTAACACTATCAGATGCCACCCAAATTATATATAAATACGCCTCACTTAACTATTACTAGCCTTACCCATAAAGCATCAGAAAACAGTATTTTTGGCCCTGCTCTAACCCTCCACAAACAGTAATCACATGATTCCACCATTCTAACAGCTGGCCTGCTTCGGCAGGTGGGAAACCACCGGCTAAATAATTAGGCTAGGATTGCCTATTTAATTTCTTTCTGGTCTGTTACGATGACTCAGCACAATTATTATTGCTATCTTTTTTGGGATATTCATCATTTCAGTTCCTATTACTCTTATTCAATTCACATCTATCTCTAATAACAATAAAGCTATCCCTGGCTCTTATCGCAGCCAGCATTACTCCACATAAACGAGGTGTGTGTCTATGTTTTTTGTAAATTCAAAAAATTTTTATTGGCGCAAATGCAAAAAAATTTGCTAAAAAAGTTATACGCACGCTATATATATGGAGAGCGCTTATTATACGCGCAAATTTAAATCTATGTACTGCGCGAACCCAATTTACATCACTGACCACAAAATGTCTAGTAAATTTGATTATTATTCGCCTGTTTACTAATTTTTTTATTTTTATTTTTTAAAAAAAAAATAGGTTTCTTTTTTTTGACTATCACACAAGATAAGATATATATATGGCTCATTAAATTTTCACACTACGACTACGAATTTTATGGACCTACTTCGTGTGAACCGGTATAAGATGATACTTCTAAATACGTCACGATAAAAAAGAAGAAAAAGGTTAGTGTTATGTTTGGCATTTCAGGGATATAAGGTTGTCACCGCTCGTCGGGTCTGAAATCTATATAGTTAAGTATTATTTTTGCGACTAGTAGCAATTTTAAGATTTTATGATCGGCTACTATTTGATTGGTTCGATTGATAAGTTTAATAGTTTTGATTTGATGTCTACGTATAAATTATTCGCATCATATGAGACAAACTTTTTAGTAGATTATCTTTTAGAACTATAAATAAATTGGATTACAAGTGACCCTCGTTGATATCAACCCATTTGGATTAAACAATTATGTTGATATATATGAGGGTTGACAACAGAGGTAAATTTTATATTGTTTGGGCTCAACTTTTTACAATTTTAGGTTGATATTAACGAGGGTCACCTGTATAAGTACAATATATATAAAAATAATTAATAACAATTGGAAGTCAGATCGGTAAATGATATTAATATAATGTATTCGGATATTCAGTGCGAATCCGAATATCCAGATATAAAATCTTTTCACTGAATATATATCATTTTTCACCGATTAAACTCAATAAATGTTCGTAAATTATAATAAACTAGCACATGTTCATTTGGATGGCTTCGCCGACCCGATTAATACGTTAAAGAGGCAATAGAGACTCCTATAATTAAATAAAAAGATCCTTATTTTAACAAATAAATTAGTGTAATAAATGAAATCAAGAGACATAGTGCAGTAGTGTGGTTGTAAATTTTATAAATTTACAAAATAAATTAGAGTAGGGTTCCGACCTTTAACGTCTAACCCGAATAACCATGTACCCGATTATCCGACCCGAAAAAATTAATGTTTTGACGAATCACACAGTTGACCCGATATTTATGATCAGCAGCAATTTCGCCAATTCAAATTTCACCAATAGCGATAGTGGTAAAATTATTTAACCGACATCTTTAATCTAGTTCATTCCTGATATATATGTAAGTTTCGCTAATATAAAGTTTTTTTTTTATTAATCAACCATTCTTTATGAGTTCGATACTAGAGGTAATCGGATATCCGGTTAACCCGTTTTAATTTGGTAACCGATTTTAGTTTCGGGAAAAAAATGATTGACCTGACGGGTCAGGGGTAGGATTTTTAAACCGGATTGGAACCCTAAATTAGGATAGCTTATTTAGATACCGATATTAAATTAATAAAGTAGATTTATACTTACTGATGAAATTAACGCGAATGAAATAAAACCAAGATATAGGATGGCGGTAACCGCTACGAACTCGAATAGTTTATTTAGATGTACTAATTAATAAAAGATCTTTATATATACAAAGATAATATGAAAAAATGAAACTAAATAAGAGATACTGTACAGTGTGAGGGTAATGCCATAAATTCGAATAGTTTACTAAATATACAAATTAACAAAAGAACTTTATACTTAATGCGCAAATAAAATGAATTAAGAGATAGGGAGGTCTCAAGTATGGTGCGAATCATCTAAATCTTAACTATTAAATTTATTAATTGTGGCTATCTGAATCAATCTGGACAATCATTAATATGACAATGTATTCAAAATAATTCTAAAAATTACTACTACTCGACAAATGTTATAAACTTAACTAGATAGATATTATAATGTGAAGCGAAATTTGAGATATTTGTTAAAGAGTAGCAATTTTTGGCCATTAGATTATTCGCAATTCGTTGGATCAGTGGCAATTTTTTTTAATAATGATATTTGAATAACTGACCAAAATTTGACAGTTTATTCAATTATTGATTAAGAATTTGCTATCGAGAACCTCTACAGTATAATGTGATAGTAAATTGATTAATGAAAAAATATTTATACTCACCAGTGAAATCAGCATGACTGAAATGAAACTAAATACACTATGAATCGAATAGTATATTAAATGTACTGATTAACAAAAGACCTTTGACTAATAGCATAAATGATATAAACTTGAATAGTTAGATATACTATTAATAAACTTTTATTCTAAAAATGTAAATGATTTTACTATAAGCATGAAGCTTATTACATATGGGGTGTTACGCATTAAAAGAGCCCATTTTGACAAATTTTCAAAGCTTTTTTTTTTTTATTTGATTTTGAATAGACATATATTCAATAAAAAAAGTTTTCCTTAAGTTACAAAAGCTAATTACAAATTCTATAATAAAAAGACGAACTTATAGGAAATGTTACTGTTTGTAGATCATTTAAATTCAAAATTGTTTATATGTAAAAATGTGCGTCTAATTACAGAATCGAGAGTTCTTGAACTAAAATTTGATAAATACAACTCAAAATTCGACAAAAAAACTCGGAAGAAGCGCATGCAAGCGTGTGATCATTGTAGCACAGGTACATTATAATATAAATTGTATAAATTTTGCACAACAGAAACCTGTGCTAGGTTCACTAAACTAAAAAGATTGTTATTTAAAGGAAAATTTCTATTTGTACACGGGGGTATATGTACACGGGCATATAAAAAGCCAACTGATATCTCAAAATTTTGATTATGAGATCACTTTTTGGCTTCTAACAAAAAAAATTCCTTGCGAAATTTTGGTATAAACTAACCCTCACCCCAACCCCAAACCCACCCTAACCATAAGCAAGGATTAAAATTTTCGGGTGTAAAAATTATTTTGTTTGGACTGTTACACGGATTTGCAAATTAATTAATACCCGTGTACATACACCCGTAATTATATGTATATATATATAAATACGTTTATAGAATATCATTTAGTTTTTTTTTTCGATTTTTATATTGTGATTTTATTGGATATTATTGAACTCGGTAACGAAGATCATAATTCTCTCCCCAGGCCGTAATAACACAAGTATGATATATAATATTCAATGAATGTATCCAAATATTCATTGAGATTCGTTATCCGGATATTAAACAATTGAACGAATAAATATCCGGATCTTTATTTTTTTAATTGGATCAGACCTCTACTCTAGTAGAGACACGTATACAGTATAGTAGTGAATATTGATATTCGATTAAAGCTAAAAATAGCTATTATGGAGATTTTTTTTATTGGTGAAATGTTACATTCTCAAAAAGTATTTTAAAACGTATAAATAAATAAATTACTCGGGAAATTGATTTGCATCAACCAATCAGACAAAAGTCCCTTTTATAAACTAATATATGCTATGTTTCTTCGACTTTAAATTCTAATAAATAGTAATCAGAATCATCAGAATCGATTTATTTTTGGAAAGTTTATAATAAGTTTATAATATTAAAGATATCTTGTGATTTAATGATCTAAATAAAATGTTTTTTTGACATCATTTTTATTTATCTCAAAGACTAATTGAATGTTACCAAAACATTCAATTCTGACCGGTAGATATATACTGTAGTTTAATATTTGCCTTCACATAACCAATTATACTGTAATTGGCACGTCACAAAATTTCAAAATTGAAAAGCTTGTGATATGATAGTTATATACTGTTGTAATGATAATTAAATAAAAATTAAATAAAATCAGTCAGAAGATCGGGACAATCATTTTTTATGAAACAAACTTTTTTAGTACATGAGGGTGTGATTATTAATATTGATATATTTACCGTTACTGTTACCGTTGCGTAAATCTTAATTTAGTGCAGCCACGTGAATAAATAGAAAAAAATTCGAGTTTCATATATAATACAAACAATGTTATATTTTATATATTTTGTGTGACAGAACTAACCTAATTAAATATTTTAAGACTAATTTAAGGCAACACAATTAATTGCTACGATCTTAAATAAATGTTTCGATTCTCGTTTTCCTTGTTTATCTGCTAAATATTTTGTCTCCCAGAGAGCATCCTTATACTTCCGTTCGTTCCCCTTTCCCACCAACAATATTTTTCACTCTTTACTTAGTCTGTTGGGAAAAGACTTAATTTCTTTGTTTTCATCCAAGTTTTTGTATATAAGTGTAAATACCATATGGAAAGTGGTTACACTTCAAATAGAGGCCCTGATCGTTTCCAAGATTTTGACCCATATCCATCTAGCAGGGATGACACACTAGGACGTGGAAGGACACTCAGCAGGCCTGAACGTCACCTACCTGTTGCTCCACTGCTATCTGGTAAAAAGGAAAAAGATGACTCTTGGGACAGTTGGGTAATATTTTCTAGAGTAGTAACTTTTTGGGCACCGGGTGTATTATTAAGTTCGCTTGGTGGTCTTAATGATGCTCAATCACAACAAGCATGGCGTGAAAAAGTTGCTTTATGCTTTATAGCCGTTATAATGGGTGGAATTGTGGCATTTTTAACCGTTGGTTTTGCGTCTGTATTATGCCCACCATCACAAGAGAATAACCCAAATCAATTTTTGCGATTCAACGAGTCTCCTGGTAAGTTTTATTTTTTATATAAATAAAATTATAAATTAGGTATCAAAGATTCGGACATGAGGCGTATTGCATGTCTTTCATGCCCTTAACGTCTTTCAGATCACGAGACTAGTATATAATAATTGTATCTGATTGGTAAATCCATTTTTTTCAATGAATAGAAAATTTCAAAAAGTTTATGCATGTAATAATTGACTAATAATATGAGCTATAATATATATCACATGACCATTTGCATGCGTCTAATTTGCCTTTTCTTTTTCTTTTTTTTTTTTTTTTTGTTAGGAAACCTTGGAATAGAGGGTTGGCAATTTAATGTCGTTAATGCTAAATCGACCCCAACTCTTAATTTTTCAAAACTTATGATCGAACAAAATGGTCAAGATATCACAAATTTATTTAAACGTAATGATCCTTCTCAGTGCAGTTCAAAACAAGTTAAACAATATACTATTGTAAGAGATTCAGTCTGTAGTCCAGATAATTGTGCTAACAGAACATTTGATATTAGTGATGCCACGTTTAAACAACTTAATATTTTTAACACATCGAGAAAAGTTGGTTTTGATTGGGATCAACTTAATGACCCTTTCTTGAAAAATTATTTGGTTGTAGATGGGTTTCTTTTGAATCTCAACCCATACATATTGGCTAATCCACCAAATAAATCCGACATATTAGATACCGTTATTCGTACAGTTTTAGCAGGCACTCATGGCAAAGATGCGACCCGTCTTCTCTTCGGCAGGGATGATATGAGGGCCGCAGTCAATTGCTTAATTGCTAAATACTATGCTGGAAACATTGATAAGAAAACTATTGGATGCTTTACTTCTCAATTATTTCTATACTTTTCGCTGACTGTAATTTTAGGAATAGTTCTGACTAGATTTATTATGGCTTGTGTGTTCAATTGGTTTATATCTCATCGTCTCGCTCTCCCGCCAAAGAATACTAATAGGGTTGCACCTATGCCAATTAGTCAATATGGAAATCAGGGTTCCATTGGTCATGCTAACGGTCATGTTAAAACTTTGAACGATGTCGGAAATGACTTATTTACTGTTTTGTTAGTTACATGTTATTCAGAAGGGGAATTAGGTATACGTGGAACTTGTGAATCAATGGCATCTACTGAATATCCTGATGAACGTAAATTATTGTTTCTTATCTGTGATGGTATCATTACTGGAAGTGGTGAAGAGAAAAGTACTCCTGATATTTGTGTTGGGCTCATGGAGCTTGACCCAGCTTTCAAAGATCCTCAACCTCAAAGTTATATTGCTGTTGCTGCGGGATCTAAGCAACACAATATGGCCAAGGTTTATGCTGGATATTTTGGTAAGTTAAAATTGTAATAATATTATAACGAGTTTAAATTGTAATTAATCTTTTTAAAAAAAATTTTTTTTTTTTTTAATAGTTTGGAATGGTCGACGCGTTCCTATGATTACTGTTGTAAAATGTGGTACTCCTGCAGAAGCTGGCAAAGCTAAACCTGGTAATCGTGGAAAACGTGATTCGCAACTGATATTGATGAGCTTTTTTAGTCACGTCACCTACAATGATCGCATGTGTCCATTGGATTATGATTTATTCAGGAAAGTTCATCATTTAATGGGTGTTACTCCAGACTTTTTTGAAATTGTGTTAATGGTAGGTCCATAACATTCGTAATTCCACGATATTCGTAATTCTACGATTTTTAAGGAATTAATTTTTAATTTCAATTTTACAGGTTGATGCTGACACAAAGGTTTATCCAGACTCACTAAGATTGCTTATCAATTGCATGTGTAATGATAATCTCATAATGGGTCTTTGTGGTGAAACAAAAATTGCGAATAAGCGTACCTCATTTACTAGTGCTATTCAAGTTTTTGAATATTATATATCACATCATTTGGGTAAGGGATTTGAATCAGTATTTGGTGGTGTTACCTGTCTTCCTGGATGTTTTTGTATGTACCGTCTTAAGGCTCGTAAAGGTGACAGTGATTGGGTACCAATCATTACTAAGCCGGAAATTGTTCAAGAATATTCTCAGAATATTGTTGACACTCTTCACCAAAAGAATTTGTTACTTCTTGGAGAAGATCGATTCTTAACTACCCTCATGTTGCGTAATTTTCCTCACCGTAAAATGATGTTCTGTCCACAAGCAGTCTGCAAAACTATTGTTCCAGATGAATTTAAAGTCCTACTTTCTCAACGTCGTCGTTGGATTAATTCAACAATTCATAATCTAATGGAACTCGTTCTTGTCCGAAATCTTTGTGGAACTTTCTGTTTCTCGATGCAATTTGTTATATTTATGGAACTTATCGGAACTGTGGTTCTTCCAGTTGCTATCTTGTTGACATATTCATTGATAGTAAACTCTATTTTAAATCCACCGAAGGAATTTGCTGATCTTATTCCTTTATTAATGTTGGTAATGGTCCTTGGATTACCAGCCGTAATGATTTTACTTACCACTAGAAAGTTGGTTTATATCGCGTGGATGGTCGTTTATCTTTTGGCTTTACCCATATGGAATTTTATATTACCAACTTATGCATACTGGCACTTTGATGATTTTTCTTGGGGTGAAACGCGGTACGTTTTTGTATTTATTATTATTTTTTATTATTTCTCTTTACAAAATTTTTTATACTACCAACAAATGAGTTATCTGACAAGTATATAATGGATATGATAAAATTAATTTTTTATCCGATCGATTTACATTAAGTGTACCAATTTTAATATTTTTGATGAATAACAAAATAATTCATATGCAACCACTAGAGATGCGGTAGAAACTCATAACTTATGCTATAGCTAGTTGCTACATAAGGTTAACTAGGTGCTTAACATTATCTATCGCGTCTCTAGTATTCACGCGATAAATTTGTCAGAAACTTTATTAGTTAGTAGTATATATAAACTTGATTGTTACATTTGGATACATTTGTATCTTATTAGTTTAAAATACAAGTTAAAATCAATGAAAACTTTATCACGTGATTATGGACGATAATTAATAATGGTATTTATCGTTTTATTTAAACTAACTTTATAGAAAAGTCGATGGAGAAACCAAAGGCGACGATCACGGTAAAAAGGAAGGTCAATTTGACTCTTCTAAAGTTCCTTTGAAACGTTGGGAAGACTGGGAGCGCACACGACTGCGACGAGAGCGTCGTAGCAAAGAACGTCAGCAATCAACCAAATATAACAATAAAGCTTTGACAGCTGATGATAATACAAGATTGTTAAGAAGTGGGCATGATGATGTATATTATTCTGAAACAGCGTCTAATCATTCCGCATCATCCACTCAAGAGGTCGAACAACCAACACAATTTTACAATTACAATTTAACACAACAATCAAATCCTGCACAATATGGTTATTATCAACAAGAACAATATAATTATAATATACGAAATGATAGAGGACCGCATAGTGATCAATATAACCCTGCTTATCGACAAAATCAAGGACAATATTGATTAATTTGTGAAATAATTGTATAGAAATTTGTTAATTTTATTAAACTAATGCTTATGATTGCGTCATGTATTTTATTTAAAAGTATCGAGAAAATTAAACTAATAAAACCAAATGAAAAAAAAAAACCGTTTACTATGAAAAAAAAAAGAAAAACTTTTGTTGCTACGCCAACCATTGCCGAGAATTGAGCTTTTTTGCCAAGACATACATACATCCTATTTTAGAGAAAAAGTGCCTATAGAAAGAAATGAAAGTGTTACCGTATGAATTTGAAATCGTTTTATGCAGTTATACAGGTTTATAAAAACGTCAAAGAAAATAAAATTGGCTTGCATATCTATGCATTATGCATGTAAATGTTTTAATGTACGTACTGTACATACGTAAGAAAAATAATTCTGTGCATTCAGCATTTTTATTTTTGTTGCACAAAATTTTTGATTTGCAAGTTAAATACTGGTTTCATTCATGCTCCTGATCTTGATCTTATCTGTGCTACGTGCTGTACGAGCTCATAAACTTTATCCCACCGCGCTGTTTTACTTTGCTACGTACGAAGCGTAATTGTATTTATAAGGAAAAAAAACGAAAATTTTTTTTATTCCACATTGTGTAGTGCAGTTATAGTAAGAAACGTCGAACTATTTTATAAATTCATTAATAGTTGTCTAATCGATCTGATTTTTGATTCATCGATGTTATTAATAATTCAGGTTGACCAAATCATTGGCCGACCAAAAATTTGTTGGTCAATGGCCAAAGAGTAATTTTGTTTAATAGTTTAGATATATTAATAAATAATTTAGTTATACTGTATAAATTTAATCTATATAAAGTATATATACATTCAGACATGCAACTCCCCTAAGTGCACGTCCTATGAAAAGCCTCCCTAAATGCACGTCTTCTCTTGGCCAAACTAATATTATGCCTATAGATTTTTACCTCCCTAAATGCAATACCTCTCTAAGTGCACGCTTGGCTAAATTTTTACTTATGGTCCTGTCGCATTGCATTTAGAGAGGTCTGAATGTATGTATATTATTCAAATTTTACCAGTACCACAAAATCTAGATGAGTTTTGACCACTCTAGTAGGTTTAGATCGCAGATAAACTAGTCTGAGCTCTTATTCTTGCATATAGTTTATATTCAATTGTCCATGTGCAAATTAAGTTTTTACACATGTAATTACTTATATAAATCATTTAATAAAGACATGAGCAAGACCTCACCTTAACAACAACAACAAAAAAAAAAAGAATTTTATCAGTACTAAACTTTTGAATCAGGTCGATATAATTTGATTAATCAATCACCTGATAATAATTTGCTATCATATAATAACAAACTATATAAAACCCAATATATATTATTTTGACTTTTATTAAAACGCACCTATAATGGTTTACACCTATGCATGCATTATCTCAAAACCTAGCTGATTAATCAGTGCAAAGTAAAAATTTTCTACAAAAACTTTGTATACAAAACTTAGAAAAATATAAAAATTTAATAAAAAATTATATACAAAACTTAGAAAAATATATAAATTTAATAAAAACAGTGTAAAACACCATAGGTGCAATAATTATTTTTTATATATAATAAGGTTTATTATTTTTATTATACTGTATACTACGTATACGTATATTTTTTTATACATATTTAGTTTTACAAATTTTACGTACTAGTTTTCACTAGTTTTACCATTTTTGAATTAGTGTTACATGTACCGTATAGTTCCAAAAATAAGCACCCCCCGAAAATAAGCACCCCCATAATTTTTTTATATCCGAAAATAAGCACCCCTTATAATAGTTATCGGATTAGAAACTGGTTAAAACCCGGTTTTCTTGTTCATTTTATATCCGAAAATAAGCACCCCTATAACAAAAAAGGGGTGCTTATTTTTGGAACTATACGGTATATACAAATATATATATATATATATGGTTTAAACAAAATTACACGAAACAATACTGGTGTTATTGAGATCCATACATGGTTTCAAATTAACGCCCGTGAGGCGTCTCGAATTAACGCGTAACCCCTTAAAGCATAAAAAGTGAAACAGATAAAAAAAGTGGTTCGAAACTAGGTTTGACATTAAGTAAACTTTTCGAGCGTTGTTCATCAAATCGAGACGATTCTAATGGTGGTAAAATTATCAAAAATGATCAAGTAGCCATTAAGCGATTTACTGGGCGTTTTTGATGATTTTATTCCCACCATTAGAATCGTCTCAATCTGAAAAACTACTAGCTATTAAAGCTCGAAGCAGGTTTACCTAGTACCAACCCTAGTTTTAAAGCATTTAAATCTTATCATGATCGTTATTGTATATATACAGTATATATATATATATATTTAACTTACATATAAGATTTTGTATTAAACATTTATTACAATTGTTTAAAATTAGCCAACTAGATTAAATAGAAAATAAATTAATAGGCAATATGGTACTACAGAATCATCAATGGCAATTACGGTTTACAGCTTTATGGCATTCGAGTACTTGGTTTGCTCTATTTCGATGTTAAACGTTTCCATCAGAAATAACTTTAATCCCAAAGTATTTCAAATTTCGAAAAATATTTGATTAAATTGAGTTTTTTTTTCAATAACGATGGTCAAAGGATCAATTTTTACCTTTCAGAATTGAGTCACAAAAAAGAAGTACTATACACTCTAGAAATTTTATTTATTTTATTGAAAAACATACTGTTATTCTCTACACAATCAAGTTTTCAATCTAAAATAGGCATCGTACAAATTTTTATAAGCAAAGCTATCTAAAAATTTTTAAGACCATTTTTAAGCTCTCAACTTTCATATAAACGATTTAAATCTCAACTTTGATTAGAAGCGATTTGAACAATATCATCAAACTTCACGTGAACAAGTTATAAGACGCGGGTAGTGATGCGAACGGACAGCTCAGCTCCAGGCCTACTAATTAAGCATAGGCTCTAAAAATGGCTCGGCTCAAACTTTGGAGCCGATCGTAGAGCTGCGAGTCGATAGGTTTATATCATATCACTATTACCGAATAAGTCCACCTGTGCGCTAATTAATTGCTGCGCGTTATTTCGAATACGCCCCATGTGCGTTATTTCGAAGTAAGAAAAGGTTTTCTAAATTCAGTATAGTCATCAATAAATGCACGTTGTTGGATAAAAAAATATTCATAATGAATAATCTACATATAATAAATAATTACATTAGACCGATCAAATTATATGCACTTATCATTATAGGGAAAGTGCACTTATAGAATGGAATATGTATACATTATTGGGCAAAAATTTGTGAATAACGGCCGTTATTCACAAATTTGCCCAATAATGGTGTTATCCGATAATTTATGATCATGATTGGTAGGGAGTCACTCGCTG